TAATCAACAAGTGTGTAACCCCGTTAAAATTTTGACACTTCTCTGGCCATTATCTCCGTAGCCGTTCAACTTTGGACATAGGTGTTTTGGGTTATATCGGCATACTTTAACATAAGGAACACCCTCCCGAAGTTTGGCACATTCCTCCTGGGACACCCTGTATATATATATATATTTATTTATAATTTCTATGACCTCGTTACTGATTTAAGTTTGAGAGTATAATGTCGCTGCCTTATTTTTAATATATATTCTTTTGTTTTGCAGCTCATGTCACAGACGCTCACCTACTTAATAGTTATGATGCAGATGAATATAAGTTCATACTCGGAAGTACTGGCCATGAAAACAGGTACCAGTGTCACCAGTTCTGTATCATCACTTACAAACACATGATTTGAAAAGAGACATCCTGTTTGTCATGGCATGTTGAGTTTATCTGCAGTGAGAAGCCATGTATATGAACATAAGAACTTTTTTAAACATGTTAAGATATTTCGTGAACTCAGACACAGTTTATGTAAAGTGCTAAATCAGTGTTAGCTGTTGTATTACAGATCATCATATGCCTATTAAGGGAAGAAAATGTTCCAGTGAACATTCAGGCATATACGATATAACCTTTGGGTAGAACTGTAGTAAGGATGACCTGAATTATAATGTGAATGTGTATACAAGATTTCTTCAAGACCAGTAATATCAAGTTTATGTAATGATGTCACCCACACCCCGAGGTTAGTGGCTCTAAAATAATCATCTACATGTAGATTAGGTTATAGTTCAGTAATTGTGCGTAATATTTTGTCTAATTTACTACTGTGAATTTTTCAGAATTGTGTAATGTTTGGCATTGTGTTTAGTGTTATGTCAAGTGTTGTGAATATTGAGGGCCAGATATGAGAGCAAATATTTAGTGCCAGAGCTGTATTTTACAACGAAGCTATTCATAGTGCCTTAAAACGTTGTTTAACAATAGTTCCCAACAACGATACAGAAATGAATTCACGAATCTGCTTGAAAATAATTTACTTTATGATGTGCTGATTATGTCACCGGGCTTATCTAGTGATCTGGTGCCCTACTTTTCCTAACAAGACTTTTTATGGCTGTATATAATATACTTTTAATATATGTGTATATAGTAACTATAATTATGTAGAGTGCTAGTGCTGTGATCAATTATCAAAAGTATAAGAAAAAGGTTACATTTAGTTTGATTTATGTGTAAAAAATCGCTTATCAATCGAGACATAATTTATTTATGAAAAATAATTCTTCAAATAAAAAAATTAGGACTAGTAAATAAAGTTTGTGTTATCATTCAACTGATCATGCATGGAATTGTGTTTCATGACTCACTGAACACATGAATAAGGGAAAAAGTACTTGAATGCCACGAACTCATATAAAACAACGAAGAAAACTCGAAACGTTAAGCTGTTAAGTGACTGATACTAGAATCAGCTATTGTTCGGAACAGCTAGGAATGTTAAAATTATTTAGTTCTAGAATGAAAGATCTAAAATGAAATACAAATGGTCACGCGATACGAAGTAAGTACTACTGATCTACAAGTGGGAGACTCGTTGAGATTCAAAGAAGAACCACTATTTTAGTGTCTTCAACCTTCACACCCTTTCCTCCTTTTCTGTGTCGCTTTCATATCTTTATCTCCTTCCCTCCTTCATACATTATAAGAGTGAAGTTAGCATCTACATATATCCTCTGATAATTCCAGAACTCCCCTGCCGGGAATCTAACCCCGGTTCCTCAGTCGTCCAGTCCGTAGCCACAACCGCTTCCTTCCAAATCCCTTCTCACTCATCCATCATCGTATTATTCGATGCTATGTAGTGTAGATACGTGGTGGAGTCAGGAACTAGGCCACAAATGGAAGTAAAACAGCTGTAATTGACATAATATGTATCACTAGGTAGCAGCACAGTCCAGCTTCATGACAGTCTACGCATCAGACGCGTATGCGCATGTCCAGAGTCTGATTTCAGTAGTCAAAATGACGACAGTGTTTGAGAAGTGTATTATCCAAAAGCAGTGTTCTGTTTTCCGTTTGGTTGTGGGCAGAAGGACTCAGTGCTAAGGATATTTACGAGTATAAAGAAATGTTTCCTGTTTGCGGTGGGAGGTGTTCGTCGCGTAAAGCGGTTCACAACTGGGCGCCAAACTTTTCACTGATGACGAAGATGTTGAAATGGAGGTGCGGAACAGTAAGAGGACTTCTATGTTGCGAATTTCGACGCACTGATAAAGCGATGGGACAATTGTATTAATGTTGATGGAGGATATGACGAGAGATTTTTTTTTCAGGTTAGAATATCACGTGTTTTACGTTTTATATCCAATTGTGGCCTATTTACTGACATTACCTCCTACTTAGAGCGTTGAAATTTTCAGTGGCACTGTTCTGTACGAGTTGATTCTTTCTTCGGAGTATTTTTCTCAGGCATCCTTCATATAAGTAGAGCCATATACAGAGAGACCAACATGAAAATGCGCAGATATTGTAAGAAACATTCAGCACTGAGTGTCTGTATCACTCACTTGATGCTTCTGGTGCTCTGTGGGTTATTCCTGATGCATGTGGAGGCATTTGATTTCTCAGCGGACGCAGCTGCCAGCCTCACTCTAGGAGTAGCGGACAGATACCTATCAACTTGCGTCTACATGGTGCAATCAACGCCAAATCAAGGTGAGCCTCGTTTGTTACCCCCTTTATTCTCTTCAGCTTTTCTTCTGAATTCTAGTTAGTGTCATCGAAAGCCTCTGTGGTCTAGTAGTCAGAGTTCCTGGCTACAGATCCAGAGGTACTGGGTTCGATTCCCGGCGCTACCAGATTTTCTGAGAAGTAGTGGGTCTGGAAAGGGGTCCACTCAGCCTCGTCAGGATAATTGAGGAGCAGTTTCAAGGAAATAGCAGCTCTGGTATAGAAAACCGAGATTAACAGCCATGGTGATTCGTTGCGCTGAGCACGCGACACCCTCTATCCACTAAAGTTGGCACTAACTTCACCGACAAGCGGCGGTCGCTCGGTCGGTAGAGTTCGCTTGTGGACTAAGACCAAGGAGTTCAGTTTTATCACCGAGTAGGGTACTGTAGCGATAACAATCCATATTTGTGTTCGGGAGATGCTAAGTTTGAAACTAGGTCAGGATATTATCTATGGTTTTGCCTAATGCCTCCAGAAAAATCCTGCAATAAAATCTGGATCAGATCACGCCGATTCCTTCCAGATTCTTGCCCACATTTCAATCATGAAATCATTCGACGAGGCTACGTGGATCAGTTAACAAAAGCGTAGTTAAATTCAGCAACCTCAATTTGTAATCGTGACAGGTTTAAAACTAGTTTGCGACATTGATTATATCGTGGTTCTCTTCAGTTCTTCAAGAAAAAATTACGCGATAATATCTCGATTTAACCACTGCCGTTTTCTTCTAAATCCTTTCCAATTTATCATCCATCAATCAACCTTACTTTCGACGTTACTGCTTCTACATACCGAAAACAAGTTTAAATGACCCAACATGTATTATGAAGGAAACGGGTTCGATTCTCGTTCGTGGCACTGATTACTCAACTGTTTTCCGAAATCTCTCCAGGAGAAAGCCAGGAGAATATCTCAAACAAGACCAAGAACACTTATATTTGCATCTTTAGAATTAATTATATTGTCACATGTGCATTTGTTGCTAGGCAACGACTGCGAAGAGACCGTGAGAACCGGTACGAAGATGGAGGCGATACGTTCCTTCGAAACGTCGGTTAACACCACATCTACACGGTTCCACATTCCAGAAGACTGCTTTCTTCCTGGTCAATTTTCTTCAGATTCTCCAAAGTACAAATATTTTGTTTCTGGACATTATCCATTGTTTTATCTTTATCTAAAAACACGGTCCTGTTTATTTGTAAGACAATGTTTCAGAGACTGGATTCTCTCTCTGTCTTCAGTTGGAACCTACTCAGTTTGGTTCAATCAAGAGAGCTAGCCACTATATCCGGACATCTGTGCCAGCTTCAAGAAGGGGTATATAAGCTAAGCACAGCACAAACCATCTGCGAGAGCTAAGAAAAAATTAAATTATTAAAATTCCACACGATGAAAATCCACCCAGCGGTTCTAGATTTGTTTCTTGGAAACATGAGGATAGACGGATTAAGTTGAAATGTTAGGCCCGTCACATAGTTGCGATTATCCCTAGCAAGGGATTACGTGTGTTCCATTTTGAAACGTTTCAAAGGGAAGAACTCTGAAGAACAGGACAAACAAGATATGAGCGTTCAGCTTGGACCAGTTTTCCAAATGTGATGTTTACCGTATGTGGGACATGAGCCCCTAAAGTTAATTTATTTCTCTTTCAGAAGATTTTCACCGAAACGCAAACATAATAAAAATAATAATGAGCAGAACGACACATATTTTTGTAGGCACCCTGTCTATAGACAAATTATACGACAGAAGAAGTGTACAGAGATGTCTACACGTTATAACTCTAACCACTTTACAGCCCCGTTTTATACAGGTAAGGGTTTCTCTGAATTCTTTAAATTCATTTATAACCATTTGAAAATTATATCATTTTCTTCTGGGATGCAATATAATGAAGTTGGCACCCAAAAACTAAGGATTATGAGGAATCTGATTTTCTATCTTGACGATGGAGACAGCAGGTTTCTCCGAAACGCTGGTACCTATCTCACAAACTACACGGCATCACGTCTAAGTAATCATCCACACTACTTACACTAACATTCGACGTATAACGTCAGCAGTTGATGTGATTTCGGTAAAAAACCTAAAAACAATCAATTATTTAAGGTACTACCTTCGAGGACTAAATGGTTGGCATTCGTGCAAGCAGACGCGTCGCTGGAGGAATTCTTCGCTGATGTTTACATCCCGTTCATTTGTGAGTTCCTAGCAGCGAGGGGTGACGCTGCAACCGGCAACGTCTCAGTAACAAGGATGTACAACATTCCCGCCACCCCGCCTCTCCACATGTACCGTGTTGCCATCTGGTGTCCGAATGGAGGATTCACATGGTCCACTTTCCAGTTTCTGCATAAGAATGTAGACCTTCAGGGGGCAGAGATAAGAGGGGTCTACATTAAGGATGTAAGTAGACAAATAGCGGATCCCAGTGTACTGTGTATTCTGGGGTCGTGATCCTCAAAGCTTCAGTGGAGAATGAATGAATGTGGTGTAATGTTACCGGCCTTGTGATTGGGCGACATGGACGCAAATAGTTTAAACTTATAACTGCCAAATGTCGAAAATTTCGATCTTTGCAAACATTTCTGTCTGACAGAATGTGATATCTCTTAATATATTGTCTACAGAATACAATATAGAAATACTTAGAAGGAAAATTTCTCCTTTCATTTAAACTGTTTGGTGAGTTCATGTAAATTATAGTCCCATATAAGAACAGCGGTTTTGAAAATATGAAATGCCACCTTGGCATTATAGGAATTAAAGATGGTGTTTGTAAGTTTACGAAATAAGATATACGAATTTATAAACCAGAAAAGAAAAATATTCAGCGGTTAGTGAGGATGATTCTATACCATAATTTAATTCTGTGGAGTGTTCTAAAAATATCTTCATACTTTGTATTCGTTGCAAGATAATATTATTTACTTACTTACTTTCTTACTCACTCACTCATGGAGCTGAGCCCTTCTCGAGAAGTTGCCAATTCTGCAGCTACTCAACAACTTCCCAGCATTTTATGGAACCCGAAGGTTCGTTACCGTGTTCACAAGAGCCATCCACTAATCCCTATCCTGAGCCAGATCAGTCCAATCTATACTATCACATCCTGTCTCTCTAAGATCCTTTCATATTGTCCACTCACGTACATCTTGGTCTCCCCAGTGACCTCTTTCCTTTCGGCTTTCCCACCAATATCCTATATGCATTCCTCGTCTCCCCCATTCGTGCTACATGCCCTGCCAACCTCATCCTCCTTGACTTGATCATTCTAATTATACTTGGTGAAGAGTACAAGTTATGAAGCTCCTCATTATGTAATTTTCTCAAGCCTCTTGGGCACAGTAACACTAACGGTATATACTTACAG